TAAATATGAAAGAAAAAAATGCAAGGGCTACTAAACATTATAATTAGTATATTGATCCCACAGATGATCAATCAATGCATTTCGTAGTGCAATTTGAGCATCTTTATTCCTGATTTGTTTATGGCGAGCGATAAATTTTTGAAACTGAGTATTTTCATCCACCACCAATTCGACCTCTTGGGGTGGCGCTTCTCTCGTAATTTGAATATGTCCAGTGATATTGCTTTCATCTTCGATTATCATGTTATGCAAAATTATGCATGTAGTCATTATATCATGCAACACATATTTACTCAAAAAACGATCATGCCAGCCACAATTGCAAAACTAGATTGGAGAGCTCCAAAAGCATGTTCCAAGTCTTTTCCACATGCTTCATGTTATATTGCAAAATATTATTTCTTTGGAGTACGTGGTTTCTGAATAGTTTGCACAATGGTGACCCATTTCGGATATATATTCTTTTTCTTGAATGATGTAACGACATGGGGGAGATATATTTTGAGTGAGATTAGAGAATAGGTGGAAAAATTCCAACACGTATATATCATTATTAGTGTCTGACAAACCAAAGTAAGCATGACATATTCAAAGATCATAATCTGCCACGACTTCTAAAATAATTTTAGGTGATCCAGTACGTCCCGCGTTCTGCCTAGCCCAGCCGGTAGGACAATTTTTCCAATTCCAATGCATACAATCTAAACTTGCCAATATCCCTGGAAAACCAAATTGTTCATTGATCTGAAGGAGTCTAGCCACATCATTATTTGTTGGTGAGCTTAAATATTGCTCTGAAAATATATGGACTACTACTCTATAAAATCTCTTCAGGCATTCGATTTTTGTTAATTCACCTATTATAATATATTCATCTGTAGCATCTGCGGATAATTCATATGCTAACATTCAAATGATGTCTGTTACTTTCTAGAGAGGTGATAAACCAATCCTACCGGCTCGATCCATTAGCTGTTTGAAGTAACTATTTTATGCTTTTACTATATTAAGTACGCGCAAGGAACAATGTTCAGGACATTCGATATCTCCGTCGAAACATTGTATCATTGTATACTAGATTACTTGAGATGTAATCTTGGTAGAGTCGATGATCTGCAGCCTCCCAGTTATGGTTGATGAAAGCACCACCTATAATTGAGCCTCATATAGAGACGCTTTTAATACGTCGTGTAAGTAGGTAATGGATCATCATATTGTTATTTAATATGGCACAACAAATCATTATTTCCTGTTATTGTAAATTATTTATCAGTTGGAGTGTGTCTTCTTCATTTGGGGAAAAAGAATATGAAAAAATATTATGCATATTGATATTGTGATTTAAGCTCACTTGGAAATTCCTCTATTTATAAGAGAAGTGCAATATGATGAGTTGAGATGTGTGAGAATCTTAAAGGACAAATGCAATGGATAGTCATATCCATTCAATACAACTTGAGATGTGTGAGAATCTCAAAGGACAAATTCAGTGAGTAATCATATCCAATCAATGCAACTTGAGATGTGTGAGAATCTCAAAGGACAAATTCAGTGAGTAGTCATATTCAGCCAATGTAACTTGAGATGTGTGAGAATCTCAAAGGATAAATTTAATGAGTAGTCATATCCAATCAATGCAACTTGAGATGTGTGAGAATCTTAAAGGATAAATTCAGTGGGTAGCCATATCCAATCAATGCAATGAGAATCTCAATGAACAAATTCAGTGAGTAGTCATATCCAATCAATTCAACTTGAGATGTGTGAGAATCTCAAAGGATAAATTCAGTGAGTAGTCATATCCAGTCAATGCAACTTGAGATGTGTGAGAATCTCAAAAGATAAATTCTGTAAGTAGTCATATCCAGTCAATGTAACTTGAGATGTGTAAGAATCTCAAAGAACAAATTCTGTGAGTAGTCATTAAAATCAATGCAACTTGAGATGTGTGAGAATCTCAAAGGACAAATTTAGTGGGTAGTCATATACAGTCAATGTAACTTGAGATGTATGAGAATCTCAAAGGACAATTTCAATGAGTAGTCATATCCAGTCAATGCAACTTGAGATGTGTGAGAATCTCAAAGGATAAATTCAGTGAGTAGTCATATCCAGTCAATGTAACTTGAGATGTGTGAGAATCTTAAAGGACAAATTTCGTGTGTAGTCATATTCAATCAATGTAACTTGAGTTGTGTGAGAATCTTAAAGGACAAATTCTGTGAGTAGTCATATCAAATCAATGCAACTTGAGATGTGTGAGAATCTCAAAGGACAAATTCTATGGGTAGTCATATCCAGTCAATGCAACTTGAGATGTGTGAGAATCTCAAAGGACAAATTCATTGAGTAGTCATATCTAGTCAATGCAACTTGAGATGTTTGAGAATCTCTATAATTATTATATAAATAGGGATGAGGAGCATGTCATGTTACTAGTATTCTAAATCCATTAAGCCTCCAAAAAATATGTCAATCCGATCAACTATATATTCTCAAGAGCAAAATAAGCTCTTATGCAAAATTTAAATGGAAATTTATCAAGACCCAATCACTGGTATATATTAGTCATTGAATAATTTTTTATAACGTGTCGAAGAAGCGTACTATAATTCTAAAATCTAAATTTGGGAAGTGCGTTCAAAAAGATCTGTTTAGTCTCATATTCATAATATTGAAAAAGCAACAAGGAAGATGCATGTATGCATTCTACAGGTTGAAAATTGACACATTAGTGGTGCTTCAAATGAAGATATTATGAGTACTTATGTTTGATATTAAAATTTATCTTTTTTATTTCATAATTTATGTACTTATAATTGTGTATATTGATTTATAGTTAGATCAAGCCAAACTGTTGTTTGTATAAGATGAGAAGTTCAAAGCATGTTGAAAGTTTAATCATGTGTGGAACATCATAAATTTTTTTGAGAAATTTCAAGATAGTCAATCTAGTGCTAAGCATGCATCACGTATGTCAAGTTTTGGGTATGCCTCATCAGAGTCAAAAAACCCCTGAATCCGATAAATAACAATCTCCTGGAATCTCTATCTTTTCTCTAAATTTAGATGATGAAGAATATAATGTTCATGGCTCTCAATCTGAACGACCGATTGGGGTGAAGAAAGCAAAGCTAAAAAGAAAAAAATTGATGAAGAGATCTAACCATTTATTAAAACTCTAGAAGATAGAAACAAAGAACTGATTGAACAATTAAAAAAAACAAGTGTACAGTGAAGACAACATATGGAACTTCAAACTAAGAACTATGCCTTAAAAGAACTCAATGAAGAAAATAAAATATTGTTTCAAGACTTAAGTACTATGCATAATACTGCTATTTGTGCATTTGTCCAAGCTGAACAAGCGTGAATTTTAGAAAAGAGATTCGGACAATAATAAGATCAACAACAACCTCATTCTTCAAACTCATTTGGACAATTTCTCAGTGATCTTGGAGGAGCGGACACCACTCTTCCATATTATTAGATTGTCATAACTCACTATTTTATTTTTTTATTTTCCGAACTTGTTTTGTATTTTGATTTTTTTTTTGTTGAAGTATTGTAGTACTCAATATCTTTTAAATATGTATGAGAGTTTTATCGTAATTTTTATGTTAATGTTTATCTTACAAAATAATTACATAATAATTTTTGAAAAATAATGTGTTTCTAAATTATTATTTCTTAACTATTTATAATAAAAATTTAGACTTAAATATTTAAAATTACTAATCAATTTTTTAAATAAAGAAATGACGGATGAACAGTGCGAAGTTTATCCGCAATCAATTGCCCAAAAAATTGGCGTTCCATTGGGACGTTTTAGCGCCTCTATACGCTCGTTTGACGAACGGTTGGAGAAGGCCTTAAGGTAAGCGGGAGTC